TAGCCTCTCAAATAAATTGTGTGTAATAACAGACCAGAAGGACTATACTCAGCCGACATGTGTAAGGTGATATTTTACGGTGCAGTCTGCCCGTGTTTCATCCCTTAGCTGTAAACACAGACCGGACTATGTAAATCGCGACTAGCTGAATGGCGCAGTGCACAGTAGCACTGTCTTTCTCCATTATAGGGCCATTAGTCGAAGAAGATCGAAGGTTCGTTTCCGCCGGTAAGATAACCACTTCCCATCTTCCCCCTCTTTCCCCGCCCCTCCCCCCTACTACGATTCATTCATTTCTTTCTGATGATAAATTTGGTACCAACAAATACCAGTGAGTCAAATTCGTCATCAGCTTGCTTCTAAGCAACTCCTGAAAGATGAAGCCATCCACAGTCTTGCCAGACGTGACTGCTGTTTGGTACTTGCAACCACTCGGAGTACTTCCAGAGTTTCTTGGCCTATCATAGCTAATGCGTAAGGGGTTTTATGCAAATACATAGTAATAACTTCCATCTACCCTCACCCCTAACTTCCGTTCCATCTATGCCAAACATTCTAAGCAGCAAGTGGGTGAAAAAAACTCCATTTGTGGGTTATTTTGATAACAGTTTTATCAGCAGAAATTAACCGTTCGCCTTTTCCTCCCCCGCCTCTCCTCCCATCCCCCTCCCCCCTCTTCTCCTGCCGAAAAAAATTCCATGCCCCCTTTTTCTAAACCCATGCGCATTCAGACCTTTGCTTCCTAAGCAACCGGACGTTTTTGTTATCCGCTGATGAACAGTTCCCTATGCATATCTCTAGAGAAATATCTCCAAACACCTTTCCTTTTTTTTTAATATTTCATGTAAAATTAACCATGAGCTTTCCGCAGATGAACTTTTGCGGTAAAACGAAATGGTATCAGAATTGTTGGACTTCCTGTTTTAAAAAAATTAACAAGAAAGGCCATTTCGATGGACCAAATGTGTCATTTTAAATTAATCTGCAGAGGCTACTGAACAACGAAAATGTGCTATTTTGGCTCAAAAATAAAAAAGAAACTGTGAAATTGCTTTTCTTGCACGTAAAAATCTGGCTCAAGGACATCCATCATCATCATCTGCGCCATCATAAATCCTTTAATTTTGAAAAATGTTGTTCTCCAGCGATGTAGCCGGCAAACAAACATGTAGCCATTTTCAAGGAATCAAGTAAATTTGAAAAACTGGAGGAGGTATGCAGTTTAGGGCCAAAGGACCCGGCATTTGCGTCCAGCTTTTGAGAACATCTCAGTAACATCACTAACATGGGATAACCAAACCGACTGTCCAGGCGGCCTTGGTATTTTTGGTATTCAAAGAGAAAATGCTTCAAATTTAAGAAAAACAGATTTTCAGTACTTTTGGCATTTAAAGAAAAAATGCATCAAATTTAGGAAAAACAGATTCCCAGTTTCTCCCCCTACTACTGCTACATAGCACAGAAAAGCCACCAGCTTTTCATGATCTGTCGAAGTACAGCTGGGCATATAATCCGGCAGAAACTAGCGTATTTTTCTCGAAATTTCCGTAAAATTATGTGCCACACACATCTGTTTATACATATGCTCTCCGAAGTGTACTAGACTGCGAATGAAGATGGAAAAATCGAATTTTTTGTCCTATTGCAACCCTAAATTCGTTTGCACAAAAAAAACCCTAAAGAACAAAATCTAAGCAAAACAGTAGAAAGGACAACGTGCAAAAGGGCGAAGGTTTGGGCCGAGCTTCGCAAAATTTTTGTGCGGGAAAACAAAGTGTTGCCGTGAAATTGCACGATTTTACTAAGGAAAAATAAAATATTGTCAAGGAATAGTGAAATTTCGCTGAAAAAAAAGCAAAATGTCCCGAGAACTGCGAAATTTTACTGGGACAGAAGCAAATTTAGCCAGTAATAGGTAAGATTTTATTCAAAAATGTAATTCGGCTGAAATCGCACACATTTGAGAGAATATGATTATTGTTGAAAAGTGAAAATATAATAAATCTTTGTGCCACAGCTTGCTCTCTACGCATTAAGTGTGGGTGTCTGAAGTAGGAAAATTCGAATTTTTGCTGATTAGGACAAAAATTCTTGGTTTTTTTCAATTTTTTTCTTTGCCTTCATTTTTAAGTATAAATTTCAATCGCTTTAACACGACAAGTTATAAAATTGAGGGAAAAGACACCAAAATTGAGGTTTATCCTATTATTCCAGGAAACTCAGTTGGCCAAAACGCATCAATCAATACTTGATCTTGTGCTTTTCTCACCTCCCTAATTTTGTTAAGCCTCAAATAAGTGTGGATGAAATTGCCGAACCTTAATTTCGCTGGTATCTTTGCCCCATCGACCACGCAGTTCGTCGAGATCGGCGACCAATTTTCGGTTCTGCTCCTCGAGTTTCTTCACCCGGTCGATGTAGTTCCCAAGTCGGTCATTCAAGCCCTGCATCTCCTTCTTCTCCTTATCGGTTGCTTCCAGGAATGACTTAGCCGCATTTGCACTCAGTGCTGGGCTAATACCACCGATTGATGCAGAACCCATTTCAGTTACCATCTTCAACACACGGCCTAAAAAAATTTTTTTATTGCTTCCACTGTCTTTTTTTGTACTAAAATGTAAAAGGCAAACTCGGGAAATCCTTCCTGATGAGCGAATTTGAGCCTAAAAAATCAGAAATTTGGCCCAAGGCCCAAGGCCAAATTCCACAAGATTTGACTTAGACTAGTTTAATTCAGAAAATGAACGATTTTCAATAAAAATCATGGTTTTTTTTTACTAGCTGCCAAACTCGAAAAAATAAGTCGTTCAGTTCCTCCAAAAAAAAATTCCTAACACCTCAAAAATCTTAAAAAACACATAAACTTTTTTTAAGCAAGATTTTTTTAAGATTGCTGCCGACGCTTTACCGGAATTTTTAAATTCTGTATATTACGCGACTTTATTCGTACTGAAAATACGAATAAAAAAAACCGTGATTAACCTCAGCGATATCTTCTCAGAATAAAAAATCGTGATTTTTTAAGTAAATTTTTTACGCCTTAAAAATCCTTCGAAAGTCGTTTATATTTCGATTACCTTGAAAACTCAAGTATAATTTCTTTGAAATTCAATTTCAAATTTTTTATGCATTTTATATTTCCTGCGTTATTTAAGTAACTGATTACTGTACTTATATTTTCCATTTCCCGTATTCTTCATATTTTTATGTTTTTTGATATTTTTTCGAATTCAATCCATCTTTTTTTTGCAGTACTTACCACCGGCAACAGGCGATGGTCGAAGTTTATCACTTGAATACATGGTTATTCTTGATCAGTGATAATAATCGACCAGTATCAGTAGCAGCAGTAGCAGAATTAGGCGCGGACAATACAAGTCGTTGTGGAATAGCACAATTATACAGGCTGTTGTGTCTTATTACAAATCTCACACACAAATATACACAATAATAATAGCTAAAAAAAGTCGTAAAAATTCAAAAATCCAGAAATTCAAACAAAAATTCGTGAGTTCGAAACGTAAATTTCTAGGGATTAATAGCTCATCCAACTTGACCACAGGCTGTTTGTTGTATTTGTTGTACAACCCCCTTCATCCCCCTTGCGAATACCCCAAACTCTCATTAACCTTTGCGGGGTGTTAGCCAACTACAGTAAACATCAAAAATTAAGGACAAAATATTTCTCGTATTCGTCATCTGTAAGAAATGGATCTAATTAACGAAGTAAACCGAATAGTAACAAATGCCACGAGCAATCTTCACCAGCAAGGAGTTGTTTACAAGCAAATGAATGACGGATTTTTACACCTACACGCTACAGTTCCTTAGAACCAATGACTAAAAAGACTTAGCACTGGGCTTTTTCTCGTCCACTCGCCTTTACTAGGAAAATCCTCGATAGTTACTTTTCCTCCGCCTAGTTACATAAATTTCAGTGGGTATTCATGACCTTTTTAGCTGAAGACCAATTTACCATCGAAACGAATGAAAGAACTGTGGAGGGACTGGCTACAGCTCCTTACAGCGAACGGCTAAAAAAAGATTTAGCACTGGACTTTTTCTCGTTCACTCGCCTTACTAGGGAAATTCTCGATAGACTCTTTTTCTCCGCTTAGTTATATGCTAAAATTCAGCGGGTATTCATGATTTTTTTAAGCTAAGGATCAAGTTACCATCTAAACGAATGAAAGAACTGTACAAGGACTCGTTATCCAACCGGCGGTATCGAATCCTCGACCACCCTACTTGCAAAATGTTACCTCTCACTGCGCCATGCATGATAAATACACAAAAAACATCAATTTCGAGCCGAGAAGAGATTAAGACAGCTGTCGAGGGATGAACTCACCCGCGTGGTACCCACGCGCGGGCCCGCCAAAATTTTTCTCGGGCAAGTTGTTAAGTCGGGAACCGGAAAAGCTAGAAGACTGGAGATTTAAGGGGATATTCCCATCCATGTACGTCTTAATGAGTTCAAACCCTGCCCTCAGGTATGCGTGGTAAGTATATATTAACTGCTTGAAGTACCACAAGAATCTGTAGAAGTGCCTTTCGACTTCTTAGTGGATAAGATGTGAGAGCTCTACATCAATTTGTCCAAGAAAAAACTTTAATAGATTCGAACTTTCTTCGTTACGCCCCTCAAAATCCAGGCGCCTATTATCGAGGGATGAACTCATGAACCATCTAATTATAAGTGAAAGAAATCATCATGCGTCATCCTTGGTATGAATGCGAGATACGATGAGGGAAAAAGCGATATGAAAGGACACAAGTATGCGAGCAAACGTGTAGCACGCAAAAAATCGACATAGTTTTAACCAGAAAGAAGGACGACCACATAATCCTGCTAAACTTATGCTTCAGTGCTGTCATAAAAATTTTTGTCCAATAGAAACCCGAAAATGAACAAAATTCACTCGAAAATTCCACAAAATAAAAGCCCCAGACCTCAAATTTTGCCTCAAAACATGTCAAGAGGGACAGATATGACACACTTACAACGTAACTACCAACTTATTTAACAATTCCTCCTACTAATCCCAATTCTCCTAGTTAATAAGAGGTATCTCTCAACATAACCTAAGGAAAGCATCGTCCCTCACGAAGTAATGCTGTTCAACATACATACACCAAAGACATCTCGAAACAGCTAAAGCCTTACTAAATGGTTCTGTCAGGAAGTCGCTGA